TTCCCCCCATTTTGTCTCTCATAGTTGAGGTATACCTATGATGAAAATTACAGGCCTCTCTCATCTTTTTAAGTGGGAGAACTTGCACAATTGGTGGCTGACTAAATACTTTTTTGCCCCACTGTATATGCAATTTGTGGCATAGCTCTACCATAAAGCTTTTTGCAAGAAACCTTAGTTATTATAGTACTGAATTTAGATAACAACCTCACTCAGTTAAGTACTAGATTCTTTTGGGAAAAGTCATGGCAGTTAAATTGTCATAAACCTAGGATCAATAACACTGTTGCAAGCCTAATAGAAAGCTGCAGTATGGATAGTCCTTAAGGCTGAGTCTTGGATCTCTTATATAGTACTATATTTACTTGGTGCTTTTTTCCTCACCTCGAAACTAAACTTCTATTAAGAAGTCGCATTTTTGCAGTTTAGGGACAATACATGCAAATAGTACAGTAATCTAGCAGATGAGGACAAAGTAAGCACCCTCCCATTAAATTTTTTGAATAAAAGCAACATTTCTGATTTGAGTAGTAGTATGTTTTGTATTCTGCATAAGTATGTGAAGCGCAGGTAAACACTTCTAATCAAGTTTCCTACTCACACCTCACATATTTTTACAGAACTGTAGTAAACCTGATGGCTGGTTTATGTGCAGGTAGGATGTACTGACCTTGATCACGCTAAAAAAGAGAGTAAGCAGGGTTGGATATGGTTAGTGCTTGATGAGAAACTACCAGAAGTACCAGGGTAAGCTAGACTTGGAAGTTGAGAAAATGTTGCAGATAGAAGGCAGCAGTGATTCATTTCCATATTGTTGCCAGGGAAGTAGCTAATTCAGTGTGTGCATTTGTGACGGGGCTGTGCTGGCTTTAAAAATTCATGTTGATGAGATTGTAGGTGTAGGTTTAGCCCTCTGAAGTGATTTGATTCTAAGTATTTATGATACTTTGAGAATGTGACTGAAATTTTATTGGACATAATTGGCAGTTATTCTCTTTCTATAAGCTTAACTGTCAATAAATGGCTAGTTGTTTCAAGCTGGGAATAATATTTCAATTGAGCTATTTATAGTCTACCTAAATGCCCTTAAAAACAGGTTGATAGACAAGCTTTTGTATTAATTTCAAAGATCAAATTTCAGTAAAATAGCAGTAGCTATATAGTACTTGGATAGATAATGAGTATTTGTTAGGTAGGGTTTTGCATTCATTTAAAACAATTAGAATAAATTTATTCCAACAACTCAGGGGCTGGTTGAAGTCTTTACCCTGACTGTGAACCTGTTGGAGGGTTCTGGATTCATAGCCCCTTGTGGCTCCTCACCATGACTTGTAATATCTTCTTTTAAACTTTCGTGTTATGGGATTTCTCAAAGTTGGAAACACCTAGCACGGGGTAGAGAAGATTTCCTCATGAGGTCTGAGGGGTGAAAAACTGGCTTCTGAGACACCCTTGAGGACTGTAGAATTCTAATGTAGCATCGTTTTCTAGGACTAGCACTTGAACAATTCTTTCAATGGCAGAAGAGAGTAAAAGAAATCAAGGCAAGGAATTTTTTCATTCAGGAAAGGCAAAAAGTTACTCCAGTGTATTTTCTTTGTTGAGATGTAGTGTGGTAATGGAGAAAATGATAATTTCAGTATTAATTTAGCATTGTGGCTTGTGAAAAAGTTTCAGGATACACTGATAGATTAGAATTTGGGTAATTGATATGTTTTGTTCTGGAAATATCAGTAAATGAAATCTGTCTTTAGCACTCATCCTGAAATGTTTGATTCTTTGTAACTGATTTGCTAGATTGAGAAATCAATTAATTGCATTATGCAGTAGAATTAGCATGCAATCTTGTAATTTCATTGGCAAGGATATTGATTACAGAAAAGTGTGTCACTAGGTTAAAAATTAAAGATTTTCAATCAAGTTAAAATTAATGCTGTTCTTAAGAGAAGGAGGCCCAACAAATAATCCTGTAGAGTTTCAGTAGCACTAATAATTCAGCAGCTTTTTCATAATGCAGAAAGAAACAAAGAACTTTGCTTCTGAAACTGTTTTTCGGTTCTGACAGAGGAAAGTTTTACATGCTTAGCATTGTTTCCAGTAATTCAATTAACCTTTTCTGTTTTCCATTACAGGGGCGTGAAGCTTTAGAATGGGTGATTGGTGAACTAACTTCAACACGAGACAGTATGAAGTCAACAATGGCAGCTGCTTCAATGGAAAACTGATGAACTGTCACAATCTTTATTTTTCCATTGGATTTTTAATTATTGTTGCCGAGGCAAATACTCCATAGTTTTTTGATACACAAATCCAGGCAGGCAGGAAGAGTGAGAGAGAGAGTGTTAATTTATAATCAGTTTTACAGGACACACTTTTTTTCCCCTTAACACTGAAATATTTTGGGGACCCACTGCATTATAATTAAGCTTATTTTTGTATTTTTACATGGCTTCAAGCTATAGTTACATAACTTCCCCCCAGGATGGTAACTTAAAATTTCAGCTATTTAAATGGATTTCAAGCTGTCAGAGTAGTTGAAGATCAGACTACCAAGCTGTGTTTTGATAAAGAGCTATGAGAATACACTTTTGAATTTGCTGCTCTTTTTGCTGCTTGAATTTTTACCTTTTTTTAAAAAGACAGTTGTAGTTCTATGGTGAAATACATAGGTACAAAAAAAATGGAGATTCTGTCAACCTCTGATGGCTACTTATTTGCGGGGGTGATGAGTGGTATGATAGTCCAGAACAGTGTTTTTCAAACTTGGCAACTTTAAGATGTGTGGACTTCAACTCCCAGAATTCCCCAGCCCGCGCTGGCTGGGGGATTTTTGGGGTTGAAGGTCACACATCTTTAAAATGTCAAATTTGAAAAAAAATGTTTTTGAATATCAA